ATATATATTGTACATTCACATCAGTCCCTAACCCTCAAGGGGTGTACAATCCAAAGTCCCTAACTCACATTCACACATACACATATTAGGGCCAATTTAGACAGGATCCAATTAACCTACCAGCATATCTTTGGAGAGTGGGAGGAAACCGGAGTACCCAGAGGAAACCCACGCAGTCACAGGGAGAACATGCAAACTCCAGGCAGGTGGTGCCATGGTTGGGATTTGAACCAGCAACCCTAGTACTGCCAGGCGGAAGTGCTAACCATTTAGCCACTGCCATTAGAAAATTGCTTTAGATTTACCAAAAATCATATAATATGAGGTCACACCTAAACAACACTTTCAATTGTATCCAATTAGGCGGGCCCTTGCACTATACATTTGAAGGTAAATTTAAAGAAAATTGGGCAGAAATTGGACAGAAAATTGTATAGTGTATGGCCAGCCTTACTGGGATTTCATTTATTGGAAACAACTGTTGAAATGACTTTAGCATGTTAAATGTTTGGTGATCTGGCCATTTGTCCATTATTCCCAACCTGCAATCCTCAAATAATGAAACCTTTCAGCCTATTCTGGAATTCTTGCATGTCACTATGGGACTGATTTACTAAAACTGGAGAGTGCACAATCTGGTGCAGCTCTGCAGAAAAACCAATCAGCTTTCCGGTCTGTTTTCAAAGCTTAATTGAACAAGCTGAAGCTAGAAGCTGATGAACTACTATGCACAGCTGCATCAGATTTTGTACTCTCCAGTTTTAGTAAATCAACCCTATGAGTGTGATTCCTTTAAATTTAAGATTCCAGCATATGATCTTTGCAATCCCAGCACCGTCTCTTTCAAGTAGGAATTCAGTCAACCCTGATAACTAGGTAAAATGAAGATTTGTAAAGCTCACTTGTACAGCCACCCTGGGACTCTGACTCAAACAGCCCAATCTGAGAAACTCAACATTTTATGAAATGTCCCTAGATATTTAATGATGCTGCAATGTTCGGATCCTGCTGCACTTCACTTTTTTTGCTTGGGAAATCTTAGCCCTGCCTTGTGCCATCCTGCTTCACTAGTTAATAATCCCACACTTCAGTGAAAAGAGGTATTTGTTCAATTACCCATATACCAGATACCAAATCTGTTAGAAAGAATGGACTGCATTGATTAATTATTTCCAAGGCCATGGGGTCAAAGGCCTAGTAGTCAATGAACCCCAACAAGTATAAAAAAAAACCATTACAGCTTTTCTGTGGGCAGGAACATATTTAATTTTGAAACAAACTGTAGAGCAGGGCTGGGATCTAAGTATTTCCTCCTTTTCATTTTTTGTGAGTCTTTTTAACAACACTTCACTGACCCTGCATGCCCTTCTATAGTCACTGTGTTTCAGCCTCTATTCTCAGCTTCAGAAATCTGTATAAATAACTTAAAATGCCAAAAAGAAAAAAAACTAACCAGGGGATTATTCCACTCAGAACAGCAATCTTTCAAAAGACGTGTTATTGTCTCGGATGCCATGGCAGCGGTGTTACATTCAGCCTGGGAAGGCTGAGCAAAGCAGCCAGATCTCCATGGGCTGAAGCAAGCACAGGCGTGCGGCACTGCAGAAATAAGCATGATGCGAAGCAGACAGAATAGAGAAGCATTTAGACACTGGGACTTCTGAAAATGTTTGGATGTTACTCCAGGTCAAAAATTTACAGTCAGTTAAATGTTGGTTGGCAAGGAATAATTCACAACTGATTTTTATTCATGGAAAGGAGGTGCTGTTTAGCCTGATTTATCACATTTTCTGATCCACTGAAGCAGTCATTTTTCACATGTTGGAAGTGGAGTGGAATTAAGGTTTGAACATAAGAGGCTCTGTACAATAATAAAAAGTGATAAGTGAAAACTTTAGGAACTCTGCTAAGCACCACTCTCAACACTACCTTACGGCTTAAATATTAGAGGTAGTGCAAAACCCAATGTCTATATGCAATCTTCATTCACCACCCATATCAGTCATCAACATTTCAAGTAAAAGCACCAGATGACAACAAAGATTAAATCTAAATGGTCCCTAGAGGTTACTGCACTTATTTAAGCTAGCCATACATGGCTAGAATGTCTATCATCTGCCTGAAGGCTGAACAAGAGAAAATCAATATATTCCCCCATCAAGGCTAAACAGTGTAGCTGGAGGAATCTCCCCTGACATGTATTGTATTTAGGCAGCGACAACTGTGGCTGTTTGCATACCCAAATAGTGATTATATTCTGATAAACTGCACTCACACTTCGGCTAAGAATTTTCCACCTGGTTCAGGCAATATTTAAATCAAATTTTGCTGAGCCTAGTGACAGGACCACCAATGGCTTGAAATTCAGCTGATTCTGCACAAATATTATCTGTGTATGACTAGCTTTATAACAATTTGTACTACTATTAATTTATAAGCCTGTGACATTTTGTATAATGCGCTTGATTGTGCTTATTATTTACTAAAACTAGAGTGTGCCAAATCAGGATTACTTCTGCATAGAAAGCAATCAGTTTCTAACCTCAACTTGTTCAATTAAGCTTTGGCAATAAAACCTGGAAGCTGATTGGCTTCTATGTAGAAATGAGCCTGATTTTGCACTCTCACACATTAGTAAATAGACCCCTTTTTTTCATGGGATTCACATGGCCCCAGTAGTTATATTGATGTAAAAGAATTCAAAAACGTGTCATTGTTTTTCTACTTCATATCATAGCTAATCATTTCTTAACCTGTAAAGAAAGAAAAAAACTCTACCCCATGAATTAACAGGTGCTTTCAATTACGTGCAAGCCATCACGATGCAATGGTGGGACTAATACAGGCAGAAAACATGCCTCCCTCAAAAAAAATCATTGTTGCATTACATGCATAAATATGTTTAAAGCAGAGGGTTTGGCAATTTTTACTTGGACCAATGTGAGTATGCATATGCCTGTGAGATCCACATGGAGGCTGGAAATGACTGTAGTGGACGCAACTACTACAGTGATTGATGATAGCTGCCGGGTCCTAAGCTGAATGGCTGCCCTACATTTTAGTGACCACAGGAGGTCACTGGGCACGGCACAATTCAGAGAACACTTCGCATTCTTTCTGTAAAAGTAAAGTGTTCTGTGATTGGATAAGGTAGAGATTGTGAGATCACGGTTCTCCTCTCCATCTCATCCAATAAAAGAACTCTCTGCATTCCTTCAGAAAGTGCAAACTGTTTACTGAATGGAACCTATGTTAAGTGAATGACCTAGCAGCATACAAAAGACTGGTGACTGCCCTGGTCTATAACTGGCTATTACAGCAGTGAACATGGACAGGCATCGCATGAGAAATATAAATAAAGCTACCCAGTTCAACTTGCCAGCCAGCTAACCAACAACAGTGGTCAGCAGCCCCAGTGTAAAAGTGGCTTATTTCAGCAAGGAACATGGATAGGTATCACTTATCAAAAAGGGGAATAAGATAGCCAGTTCAATTTGCCAACCAGCTAGCCAAACAACCAAATTATCCTCTCTAACAATATACGTTTAAAAAAAAGGGGTTTAGTTAGCATACATTTGCAAATACATACGTAAGCCACAGAGCCACATCACGGCACCCCGACATTCTGTGGTCCTAACTCTATAAATTTTATGAGTCCTCATAGTAGAGGCACATGTATTTAATGGATAGACCAAGGGCAGGTGGACCTGAGGGAGCCCACCCATCCTAAAGGTACACCCAGCATATAGCACAATGGCAGCCAGGGTATCCGGTGTACCCACTAACCTCAAAAACTGCATACAAAAGACTGTGGCTCTGTGGCTTACATATGTATTTGCATATGTGTGCTAACTAAACCCGTTTTTAAACGCATATTGTTAGACAGGATAATTTTGTTGTTGGCTAGCTGGCTGGCAAATTGAACTGGCTATTTTATCCCCCTTTTTGATAAGTGATACCTATCCATGTTCTTTGCTGAAATAAGCCATTTTTAGATTGGGGCTGCTGACCACTATTGTTGGTTAGCTGGCTGGCAAGCTGAACTGGGTAGCTTTATTTATATTTCTCAAATGACCTAGCAGCACCTACTAAAGTCTTTTCCAGCTTCCACAGGGATCTCACAGGTATGGCACATGCATAGTTACAAGCTGAGCCAATGTATGCATGTAAAAACTGGCATATCTGAACTTCAATTTTAACTTATGATTAATGGCCTGTGTATCATATCCTTAACACTTTCTTGGAGGACAATATCTAGGATACCTCTGCAATGCTGCCCTTTTCTGAGGTTGGCAAGAAATGTACTGTTGAAGACTAGCAGACATTAATGCAGGTTAGCATGTTAATAATTTATTTGTGACACATAGGGCTCTACTGGCCGAAACCGGTGGGACCATAAGTACACAGCAAAATGCACAAAAAGAAGGAAAGATAGATAGCTATATTTAAAAGGCAAATTAATTAGAAAATGTAGTAAAAGGGAATGTGTGCTCTATCAAACACTCAATACACGTTTGTTATTCTTAGGAACATACCATATGTTGGAAAGATGTCACTAGGTTTTGTACTGTTTAAAAGTCATCCTTGGCACATTCTCTGTACAGCTGTGTGATGGCATTGCTTTTCCAGTGTTGGACACAAATCTGTATGGATGTGCTGAACTTCAGTGAAATGCCACTCCCAGCAGTGAAGGATTTAATATGCTTGCATTATCCTTCTGAAATGTTTATTGTTGTCTGTAGGGGTTACAATATGCTGTTTTGCTTAAATATGTTCTAAAATGTACTAGATAAAACTCAAAGTGGCTGGCTGTGCATTCCTCCAGAGCCTTATCTGTCTAGATTAACCCCCTCTGGCTGCAGCAGAGCACGTAACATGAGAACTTTTCATTTCATTTAAGCATTTCACAAACATTTTAGGTTAGTGTCATATACAACTTATAACAGCTACGGGCACAGAAAAAATATTCCCTTTAAACACTTCATTAGCAATTCAATTACCTGTGTACTGATAGATCTTGTCCCATCTGTTGCCTCCACTGTCAAGTTGTAATTAGATTTCTGTTCTGCATCGAGAGGTCTAGCAACAATGATGGTTCCAGTGCCCTTGTCCACATCAAACCTGCTGTCGTAGTTTCCACCTGGATAGAATAAGTAAGACATTTATAAATAAGCGTCTCTACAAGGGACAGTGATGATACAGAAGATCAGCAAAGGCCATGGCACTACAGGAGCGAAAGAGTGTGTGGAAAGAGAGAGTGAGACAACCCATTACAATGATCAACAAGCTTAAAGACACCAACAAGAACAGAGACATATACCATACTGATACAGACATATAGAGGGAATGCACAAACTGCACAGTACAACAAATAGAAAAAAAAAAAAAAAATATCTCTAGATTTAGAAAATAAACTATATACTAGTGAAACATGTAAATCAACATAGGAGTAAGCAATACATGGCTCTCAAGGTGTCGGCTGTGCAATCAACCTGAGTATGACTGGCATGTACTGTATATACACATATCAAACAGGCACATCAAGAACTGATAAAGCTTAAACAGATAGTGAGTTTGATTTATTAAAATGGAGTGTGCAAAATCTGGTGCAGCTCTGCACAGGAACCAAACATTTTTGCAGTTTTTTTTTTGTCAAAGCCTAAATAAACAAGCTACAGTTAGACGCTGATTGGCTACCATGCACAGCTGCACCAGATTTTGCACTCTCCAGTTTTAGTAACTCAACCCCACTGTCTTTGGACACATCCCACATAGGAACAGTGTCTATTTAAAATACATCAGATACAAAAAAATGGCAAGCACATTGATGACCCAATGAATAGAATTTACTTAAGGATACATGTTACAAAGGAAGATAAAATTGCTGATATCTCAGAGGCATGGAGATCTCCTTATTCAAGGTCATAGAAATGAACATGAATGTTCATCACTGATTATATTTTCTATTGTGACATGTATGTATCCAAAGACAGTCTCTCTTTAAGTCCTAATAGTTCTTAATATCTACTGCTGTTCTTTTACTGAGAATCATTTGCGTGCTGGCCATTTTCTGTATATATGTATATGTTGGTACCACCACAGGCCGTGGACCCACAGCCTGCTTGACACGTAGGTATATGTGTAGGACAGATTTGTTACAGATCATTAAAATACATGTGTACATGCTGTCACCATTGAATCCACTGTTTTGCTTTCTTGCAAAGCTACCACTTTCTTGCAAAGGTGTGTCAGATGCCTATGTCCCCTCACTGTAATTACATTCACCAGCCACTAAATCAGTAGTATATGCCTGCAGCTGTGAAGGAAAGGGACACATTATTAAGGTAGTGAGTTGGGAGAACAGTACAGCGTGGGAAATAAGCAGGTATCTGACACTCCCAGAAGTGTTGAACTTTTAAGATTCTACTGACATTTCTAGCTCTCCAATAAAATTATTATTATTATTATTATTATACAGTATTTATAAAATGAAGATTCCATCCTATTAAGGTTGTACAGGTAAGTATTAGTCACAAGGATACAAGTATCCTAACAACAGCATCTCTTTGAAACTAAACCTGTCAGAAGTGAAACATGGAGGCTGCCATTGTTGGTCTCCCTTTGTAAATTCTAGCTGAATGGCTGTCTTGGTGACCCGCCTGCTTCAATACTTTCTGAGTTTCTGACCCAGAACATGAAGTTACATTAGTGAAGTCAAAAGTTTGTATCTACATACTGGTCCTGACTATTCAATCGAGATACTGAAGCCAGGTGGTCAGCATAAGAGCCGGACAACCAGCTTCTTCAGAAGGAGCATTCAACAATGGTAGCCACCATAGAAACCAGTCAGTGTCCAGGTTGTATTGCCAAGGCTCAATCGAACAAGCTGAAATTAGAAGCCGATTGACTACCATGCACAGCTGCATTAGATTCTGAGTGCACCCGTTTTAGTAAATCTTCCCCTCTGTGTACTCATCTGCAATAATCACTGCTAGGACACAACCATTTCAATTGTGAGACACAGTTAGAAAGGTTTTCTGTACCTGACAAGAAGACAACCACCTTCATACAAGGAGAGAACTTATTGGATAAAACAAAAATAGTTTTCATGGATACTGACTCTTCCTCATTGGTATATGGTAGCTGCTATATAAATGTTCTGTGAGGATTTTAAGTCTTTTTTAATAAACTTAAAAACCACAGTACCTCCAAATAACTCAAACGTCCTTTAAGATATTTTTTCTGTTTCAGAGCAGACAACTACATTCCCTCATACATGGCAAGTATTGCTTTAACATCAAGAGAGCCAGAGATTGCATGCACCAAACTACATCAAACAAAAAAAATTAAACTGGATTGATAAGGGAGTAGTTTTAGGATCATCTTTTGACCTTTATCTATATATATAGACAGGCTACATATACTAACTGGTTCTTATCAACAGTCAGTTTGAATGAATCTGCATTGGCTTTCATGATCATAGTCATCAAATGCATTAAACGTATAAAATTTCTAAAGCAATATATAATTTGCATACAACTGATGATGACTTTTAAGGATTCTTCAATTTATAACTAGCTGACATAAAATGATAGCCACAAGCTAATACTTATGCCCTAATTACTCCAATATCAATCTGTTGGAAAGTCAGTGGAAAAATTTGTCCTTGACAGAAAAAAAATAAAACACAGAGCTCCTAAGATAAGCTTGAGGCCCTGGAAATGAGTAAAAAAAAATTAGAAATGAATCCCAAACAAATGTTTTGCTGTAGTGATGGTTCTACAACAAGCTTCTGAATAAAAGATCCTATTGTAGCAGATACCTTCTGCTACACAGTTGTGGTCACAAGCCATCTGAACGATGTAAAATACTTCATTAGATAGGTCATCTCCTGGCAGCACTCATAGTAAAGACAGAACAGACAGATAAAAAACATGGACACGTCAATGTCTAAGTGTATAAATCCACTGCATTAAATTTTTATGATGGTAATTCAACATCAGCTATCAGATATTATAACCACTATATAAAGCCTTTTCACTCACAACACAACCCTTTCTGCAATTCTGAAGTAAAGAAGGAAACCTAAGCCCATTATCAAAAGAATGTAAAAGGTAACCCAACCAATGGGCATTTATTGTATTATTGGTTCATCACCAGTATTAAGTCAGTCATAGACGGTTGAGATTCAAACCATATATGTGGGCAAATTGAATGTACCCGAGTTGATTGATCAACTTGGGCAAAATCAGCCTGCCGGATTTTAGCTTTTATAGCCGCTAGCAATAATCACAGTCTTCTCCCGGCAGGGATGGCTTACCCTGCTCCCAACTGGAAGAACACAATGGCTCAGCGGGAGGGATTCCCCTGTCAACATTGTCTGTGTCTGTGTTGATGGGGGAATCCAGGTGCAACCCATGGTTGCAGGAAAGATATGTGCACCATCTACGGCCTGCCTTAAACAAAACCATGGCTGGATTTGGCCTCTGTATGCTCTTATGCCTATTGTTGGCATTTAATTTCTTCACTTGACCATACTGCTCCTTCTCTAGCCGTGTACAATGATAAGAAGCAGTGGCATTCTACATTCTGCAGTATCACATGTTTACTTGCCAATTAACATTAAGCTAAGGGATGGAGCTCACAGTCTGTAGCATTAATAGGTACTTATATAGTGATATCAATTTAAAAAATGCTTTACTTATATAATATGCATTAACATCATACTAATACTTCATTTCCATTTTAAACAATGTAAAATATGATTAGAACCTCTGACAGGCCTTTTTTATGTCTTTGTCCATTTGGGGAGATTTCCCTTAACTTCTTCTCCCAGAAACACAACAGAAAGTGAGAAAATATCTCTCCAAAGATAGGAAATCCTCTCTTCCCTTGGTTATTGCCAAAACAGGCATCTCCACTGAAAGACTTTCCATTATCTCCAGAAAAACTGTAATATTTTTTATTTCATTTTATGTCCTAGTCATAGTGGTCACCAGGACAAATTGAGAGGGTTAATCTCCCCAACAGGAAAAATCAATAAAAAAAAATGACAGGTCTCTAAAACTCAGTGCTGGTTCATACATATGCAGATTGGATGCGGTGTGAACTGCATCCATTCTGCGTGACATAAAATAACATTGCTTCCTTTGGTGCTTGTTCACATATGTCCGGTGCACTGGCGGTTCAGTGCAGATTGAAAAAGAGTCCTGTCCAGTTTCTGAGCAGTTAGATCTGGTTCCAGGTGCAGATTACAGGCTATTGACTTCTATGGAAACGAGTCTGAATCGCACAGGTCATCAGTTATGAACAGGATAAAATCCAGACCTGAACCTGATCTAAACCTGACCTGAACCGCTGAACAATTACTTTGTCAATTAGCTGTGAAAATGGAGCTTCAAATCACTCCGCACATGTGTGAATCAACAATAAAACACGTTTTGGGTAAAGATACATTGTAAGATTAAGTGTCTTCATATATGAGTAAACAAGACAGTAAAATGTAGTTTTTATCACATTGCTGCTTTGCTCATTAACCCATTCATTCTGTGGCAATGACAAAGTCCCAATATTTAAAGTGGTATTAAACCCCAAACCAAAAATGTATTATATTGCCTCTTACCAAGCATTAGATGTGGTGACTGCATTTGTTTTCCTTTTTTTTTTTAACTTTTTTCCCCTTCATTTTCACCTGGTTATCTGGCCAGTAACACACATCCTGTATTAGATTACCCCCACTCTGGATAAATAAGCACAGTGTGCACAGCAGACAGCAGCATTGTCTGTTGAAGCCAAATTCCAGATCACACTTTATAATCAGAGTGAACAGCATTTTTTTCCTTTTGGGATAAAGGTTTCACATGAATAAAAAAAAGCTGATTACTGTAAGAACAGCTGTCAGTAACAAATGGTTTTTCGCATCCCTGTAAGCTGATACATCTGGAAGACTGCTTGTTCTTTTGAAAAACAACAGGCATACTGGCTGGGTCACCAGTCGAAAATAGAAAAAAATCCTAAAAAGAAAACTAATGCCACCATCACATCTAAGAATTGGTAAGTTGCAACATAAGAAGTGTTTTCAAATGTTTTGCTGGCACTGGAATAATTAATTTTTTTAACTGTTTAAAGCTAAATTCCAGGGAAAAATTTTCCCTTGCAGTGGAACCGCCATTGCATTGCAAGGACTAAATGCTCTTTTAAGTCAAGGGAGCCACAAAAAAGAACTACAATTTAGCTGATCCCTCACTCCCACAGGTGCCCTCCAGGCTGTGAGACCGATCCCTTCAGCCTCTTTGTCCTCTACTAACTACAAGATCCCATAGCCTTGCACTGAGAAGAGAAGGAGAGATTGCGCGTTGTCCAGGGAGTGGAGGATTGGGTAAGTAAACCTACAGTTCCCAGTCCCCTAGACCTAAACAAGCATTTAACCCTTGCAGTGTGAAGGCAGCTGCACTGCAAGGGAGGATTGTTCCTTTTTCCAGAGATGGGCTTTAAAGTGTCAGTAAGGCTAGCTTTAACTATTCTTAAAAGCATTCTCTCTCTTCTCCTCCTACCTATTTTACATATCCTGTAAAAAAAGTAAAAAAAATTAGGTCTGTATAATTACCTTTTTTAAATCCGTTCTGGTCTTGTTATTCAGCAGCTCCAGTTCCCCTGATTGGCTATGAATTCCAAGACCATGACATCACTAATAGCTCCCATGGCTCATCCTTTGTTCACGCCCCCTCCTTTCCCCTGCAGCAGATGCTTCCTGATACAGGAGAGCTGGAGCAGCTTGATCATATGACCAGAATAAAAATAGGTAAGTACACAGATCTTTTTTCGATGGGGTATGCAGAATAGGTAGGAGGATGGTGAGGAAACATTTTTAAGAATAGTTAGACCTTTCTTACACTTTAAGGTTTTTACATATACAGTATAGTACAACATATAACATATTTTTGTAGCATTACAGCAATTTAGGTACAAAATAAAAATAGGTGACAAATTAGCATTCAGAGCCTGTTATACTTCCATGGTGCAGTAACGCATGTGTTGCTGTATTGTAGTGCCATTCATTTTGAATGGCAACCAGTGTCCAAAGGCAACCCACCAGCACGTCACATCATTTGGTGCACTGCATTGGCAAAAATGGTGCATGTTTGATTTTTGGGTGCGTTGGCAGCCCATTCACTTTAATGTGCCGCCCTAACGCAATACACATGACATATTGCATAATAATGAGCCAAAAAAATGGAAATGGGCCCTCAATCTTTCAAATCTTGTCAAAGATATATAACTAATCATACTGAAGATCAGAAAAACATATTTTGAAGATGAAGAGATACTAAGCATATGCAACTATGCTATTCTTAATGCTACCACCAAAACTTTTTTAATCCATGCATGTAAACTTCTTTTTAATAATGGCATTTATGCATTTGCAATATTGTTAAACTTCACATGGATTTTTACAAACGGAATAATTCTAGCGGCTATTAATGAAGCAATGTTCTGCAGAACAGTAAATGTCACGAGATGTGTAGGGAAGACACTTGTTATATAACTCTTTTATTCAGAGTTGGCTGGGGCGCCTTGTGAACTAAGATGTCGAGTTTAAGGAATAATGTGTGATGTGACACTGTCCAGCAGCACTGAGTGTGGAGCATGATTTTCCCAAGCTAAACTGGGAAGAGACAGCCAAAGTAAGCCGTGGATTCAGCGGCTCCCGCCAGCAGAAGATAACTGTGTATGTACAATCTTCAGTGTTCACATTCTTCCCAAAATCCTAGCTGGTATCGTCACAATCCACGTATAATACACTAAATATATAAACAAGCATTAACCAGAGCGCTGCAATTACAGTGAGCAACATATATTTGCAATTTATAATCAGCAGTTAACAGATAAATCTTTGAGAAACAGTGCTTAATTGCACAACATCTGGTGGGATTAAAACAAAGTTGAGGATCAGCAGATGGATGAGGAAACCTTTACTGAACATGTAAATGTGGATAAGAACAGAGAATTAAAGCCAAATCATAATGATTGTTAAAACGGCAATTGTTTAGTAAGGTAAGCATCACTGAAAAAAAAAAAAAAAAAAAAAAAACAAAGGCCTTAAATTTCCCACTTTTTTTTTTACAAAATAGAAGTTGGCGCGTTTCTGTCATAGTTAAAAGCAGTTTGGATTCTGTGCAGTCTGTTATTGTTGAGATTATTTGAAATTAATGTGGCTATATGTGTTTACAATGAAATGCAAAGCAAAGCAAATTTAAGGCCATCCATACTTGAACTTACCCTTTCAGTGGGTCAGCAAGGTTACAAAGGCTCTAATCAGTACAGAAAGTTTCATTAAATTTCTGTTCATCATCCAATTTCCAAAAATGTCACCACACAGTGGAACTTGCGGCACTTAACTTATTCAACTCCTCTGGCTGCTTGAATAGTGTGCCCCCCCCCCCTTTAGGTTGCTGTGGTCCCTTCTGTTGACCCCTAGTCATAGTTGACATGGTCACTTTACAATCTAAGTGCAGCCAAACCTTTTATTTTAGTTTTGGAAAGGGTGGAGAAGGATTTGAACCCCGGTCAGTTTTTTTACTGCTACCTTTAGCTGTTAGACTAAGTTCACACTCTTTCTCTGGCTCTGAAAAGTGATCCATGGACACTGTCAAGATTTCAGCAGGTGATAATGCCACCTCCTGTATGCTTGCTTCTTTATTACCTGTCAACTCAACATGGCATGTTAAATTTGAATATGAACAGCACTTCCACTCTTTTGTAGGCTTTTGGTGGGCAGTCAGGGAGTGATAATAATGCAAATCAACTGCCAATTTTTACCACCACCCATGTGAAAGAAGCTTTAGAGAGAATTCCCCTCCATTACTGTCTTGGTGACAACAGTTTCATAAGGCAAAAAGAGGGTCAAAATCAGCAAGTGTGTGGAACGAAGACAGAAAAATAATCGTTTTTTTATTATTTATTTGTATAGCATTTTATACTTATATTTTTAGCATTGTAGTCAGAATTTTACTGATGTGTTCCTGTTGCAGATTTTCTCTCATGTGTCTGGTAAAATGGTGGTCATTATAACAGAAAGGGATTGGACCTGGGCACTATGGTGTATGCAAACCTTACCTTCATTCTAGAAGACACACATGCCCAGTACATAAAGGTCTGGAGTCCCTGGACGGGTAATAATGCCAGACAATCATAGACCGAAACCTGCTCTCTCTGTAACTCATCCTGGTTGCAAGTTGTGTGGCCTCTCCGGTCAAACCACAAGGGTCCCTTCTCTCTCCAATACCCCCATTTCTCCTCTTCTCCTCCCAGGCAAATTTCTTCACCTTTCTCTGTCTTAGACTTTACATCTGACCTCCAAGTGGATGTGGATATACCCACCCCTCTCTATCCCAGCCCACCTTTCTTGCCTTGCTAGCAGAAAGAGCAGATATATCCCATTTGTTTTTGCCACCCTATGAGATGTTTTTATAGCTAATGAGAAGCATTCGTCTTTTTCTGATGATCCACTGTAAATGACTGTAAATGACAAACCAAAGCTGCTTTTCTGCCATTTTTGTGATTTTCTATGACTCAACTGATGTTTCTTTGTACGATATTGTGAATAATATTCTTGCATGCCTTTGGTTCTATAATTGCTTCTTTGGGCTGTACTATGGCTGTCTTGAAAATCACAAAAAACTATTTGTGAAACAGAAAGTGATGGGAAATCTCTCTAGTGGAGACCCAAAAAGCAATGAAAGCTTGGCAGAGGCCTTTCTCCACTCTAGCCACAACTTTAAAAAAAAAACAAGTTTTGGCTAGGCATAGATTTTATATAACAACAATCCACAAGGTACTACCACAAAGGCTCCATCACTAACTGCCCCTGCTGCCTACTACAAAAAATGTAAGGCCAGTTCTGAGCCAAGAAGGCCACTTACCCCTAAACCTTGCCTTTACTTTAAAACCAACTGTAATTCATACAGTGTGTGACCGACTTTTTTGATGTGGGTATATTTTAACAACTAGCTTATAATTTTTATCTATTTTTTTACAGGATCTTTATAGCATCGTTTACTGCAGATAAAGCAAGTCAGAATGAATTTTCACAAATATTAATCAAGAAGACGAATATCCAGGTATACATCTGCCTGTTTATAAAACAACTGCTATCAGTCACTAGGAAACAATTGCTCCTAGTCTCTATGAAACAACTGATAGCAAGGACTTGGCAGACAGCTGAACATGCCTACACTAATCAGTGACACAAATCTCCAGTGATAGAAATTACCATGCCATTTAACAGAGTTCTATCTGTATTCCACTGTATTAAAGAAGTTATAAAATAATATTAGAGTCTGCATTGTGGTCAGCTTTTCATCAACTCCCCCATCCGTATTATCATTTTATGCTTTGGGAATTGGTACAGAAAAAAGGGAGACTGGCAGCTTTTCATTAGATCAGTTACAGCGGAAATCTATAGTAAATATAAAAAAAATCCAAATCTAACTTTCTGGCTTGTGAATTAGCAAGGGAATGTGCTTCACAACGGCAATAAAAGAGAATCCTGGTAACCTTGAATGTGCATTATGTGGCTGCACATACACCCTCAGGCTGGGCTTTCATTCAGTTGCAGCACTGCCTTCAGCAGCATTACCATGTCAATGGCGAAGCTTGTCTTTGGCTCGCACGTTTACAAGATCGCTTACTGAAAATGGATTAAAATCAGAACAGCAGCTGGAGATGTGGCAGTGTGTATAGAAATTGCAGGTTGTCAGCATAGGGCCACTTTGTTTTTTTAATTGCCTGCATTTTCTACAAAGGTGCCTGGGAGCAAATTGGTTTGCATTATAACACAACATATAGTCATTTTTCAAGAACAAAAATATTTTAGACATCTGCGAAATATACAGAACATGGACATTTTAACTGTATGAAAGCTGCTGGCGCTTTATTACAGTGTTAAACTGAGGAGATCTTAAGGAGAAACAAGTAAAAGTGAAAGACCTGTCCATGGTCCATGGTCAGGGTTTCCCAACCAGTGTTCCATGGAATCCTAAGGTTTCTCCAGAGGTTGTTAGGGGTTCCCTGGGTAATAAGTGATATCTGCCTTTCAGATTAGTAGCCATTGACACCTCTGATATTTAAGCCCTGGTTCACACTAGACCGTGGTGCAGGAAAACCCACAATCCGTGCATGTTTCCCACACGGCATTCAAATCGCACTGCCGTTGCAATTTGCAGTGGGTGTGAGTTCATCTTAATGCAGTTCATTTGTCTGCACCGGATCGCATGGTACAAAACAACCATGCAATTCGGTTGCAAAGCCAAAATTAGTGCATGCATGGCTTTGGTACAATGCAGTGCAATTTGAGCCCATTCAAAACGAATGGGCTGAAATAGCACCGCACTGAATCATATGTGAATTGCACAGGAATGTGGTGCAGTTCTTCTGCGATTCATACAGTATATGGTTCATAGTGTGAACCAAGGCTTAAGCCATGTCTAAGGGGTGAATTCTTCCCAATGACCACAAAGTAAAGAGCATTCTTCACACTGACTATCACACTAATATACTGTGAGTTGTAAAAAATATAATTATTAACAGGGATTCCCCTCCATGTTAAAAAGGTTGAGGAAGGCTTGTCTAGGTTGTTTTTAATCCAGACCAAGCATGCAAATGAGGACTTTTGACTTCATTGACTACGTGCTTTTTTTCCAGGTTAATCACCAACTGAATAAGTAATCAAGAAAGAGAAGGACAGCCAAGAAAGTAGTTACTTTTTTTTTAATGTACAAATAGCTCATTTCTTCACTACCATATTTATAGCATTTAATTTAAGGTGATGGGTATGTGTATCAAACAAAGGTTTTTTGGGCCAGAAAATTTTCTATTTATAGTTAATCAGTCCCTAATGATTATTACAGAATCTCCTCTTTGAAGCAGATAGGCTCTTGCCTAAAGTCTGCTTTATGTTTCACTTTTTTTAAACTTTTAAGTGTTACAGGAATATAGCTTGCTACATTTCACATATTGAATGAGCTTGACATAATCCAAAGTTACTGAATGCCTTCAACTCTTAAAACCTTTAAAAAGGTTTTAAACAGCCATACTGTGCAATAAAGCAATCACACACGACACTGCAGCAAGTCACAATACCCATACTTAAGGTTTTTTTTTTCTAAACATAGTAATCATTATCATATCTATCATACCCATAGACAGGTTTCAGAGTGCAATATGCACTTGCCTGAAATAATTGTACATACGTACCGGTAATGTCAAACCACAATGGTGAGCCCAACGGTTGTGCAGTTATCATGCCAATCATATGAGCAACAGGATCACTTTCCATCACGGTGAAGGTGAAAAATGGTTCTTCAAAGGAAATTGGTTCCATTAACGGTGTTGGTTTTGCAATCCATTCAATATGCAGTCGAGTGCTAGATGACTTCTGAGGTCTTCCATTATCAACTGCTTTAATCTGTAAGTGTGAAATAAAGCATATAAATCAAAAAAGTACCAATCAATAGCTGCAACAATGGAAGAGAGATAATTTTTATTTATGCCACAGAAAATGGCTGGTGTCCTGCTGGAACTTTTCCATCTTCTGCACTCTAATGATTCCGGTCTATCTCATGCATGAGCAACCCTAAACTAATCATGTTACGAAGCAGAGAACCCAAGAATGGGGTCCCTATTAAAAGCCAGTTTTTGACAGGTTACTGAAGGTTTTGGTTCATCACCACTCTCAGAACACTGCTGTAGTGGAATTGTTCTAAGAGAATTCATTTGTCATTTCCAAAACTCTAAGTAGGCCCATATTAGTCGGCTGTCACCACAAAGATATTAGCCTGGACCTATTTACTGTGACAGTTAAACATATTTGTTGAAATGACTAAGCATATTCACTGCATTGGACAAACACAAAATTTGATTGTGACTGTATAATTATTGAGGTTGATTTGCTAAAGACAAAGAGACTTACTTTTATGAAAGTTGCACTTTGCAGGAGGTAAAGCTCTGCTGACTTCCATCATTTCATCATCTTCAGGCAAGAATTCTGTCTTTACTATTTTAATTGCATGTGATTGGGTATTCAAAGTGAAATTTCACTATATTCACTAAGCTCTGGGCAAAATTTCCTTGCAAAGTGCAACTTCCATTGCAAAAAGAATAGTCTATTACCTTTAATAAATCATCCTCAAGAACTCCAAAGGATCCTTATAGATTTACCATTTTTACTTATTTATAACACTGACACATTTTCTACAGTGCTTTACAGAGAATGCTAAACTATTCATATCAGAAGCATAAAATCTTTGCCCTTCTACACTCATGTACCCTTCAGGCCAATACGGGCTGGAAACCAATAAACATGTAAGTGTGTCCTGAGGTTGTGGAAGAAAAGCAGAGTATGTGGGGAAACCAGGCAGACACAGGGAAGACAAACTTCATATAGATATGTGTTTTATTCCAAAACAGCGTACAAAACAGCAGTATACCAACGTCACTATGCCAGGTTTTCCAATTTCATATTTATTAATGGCAATTCAAAGATATACAGATTCCATGCCTGATTAGAGTCACTTACTTGGACAAACCTGGGAATAAATATGAAGGTAAAAACAAGAAAAGTGCAACGATATTTACTACCTATGCTTTATTACATACACTTGATTATTGTATACACTGTAAGCCCTATTATGTGTCTTGCTTTTATTTTCAAATCCCTAAATTCAAAACATTACTTATAATAATCAATACATCTAGAGATAAAGACAATATGCAGGCTACATGGAGGAAAACAGCATGCAAATACCAAAGTGAACCCTGCCTGTAACTACCTGCCTGTTTCATTCTCCCGCATGGAGCAGAGATGCATTCCAATGACAGTAAACATATTTAGTAATGACTGGAAGTTCGTTAACCTCTCTGTACAGTGCAAAAAGTATAATACATTAATTTTAAAAGACAAAATGGGACCTGCATGATGGTCTTCTGATCATTATGCTCAATTACAGTGTAAATTGTAAAAAAATGTAATGTATTGTAATTTACCAATCCTTAGATGTGGTGGCTGCTTTAATTTTCTTTTTTCAAGATTTTCCCTTTATTTTAAACTTAGGATTCTGCCAATGACCCATATTTTTGTCCTATGGTGACACATTATTGTATTTATAGACAAGCAGTGTTGTCACACTAAGCTAGGACTACACAATATAGGAGTTGTGTAGTTTACAGTGATATCTGGGAATAATGTTTACTGACAACAGAGCAGGAACAGAGCTCAGGAAGTCATCAGCTCAATAGATTCTTCTTGCCCTTGTCAAACAGATATATAAAAACTTAATGTACTGTAAAAACGCTAATAAAACACTAACGCTCCTAAATGCCTCTAAACGCTACTATAAGCTGGCACAAAGACTCTATTATCAGCGTTTTTCATCCAGCATTTTTATTCCAGAGTTTTTGAGCTTATAAAAAACGCTAGTGTGCATGGATCCTTAATGGTTTATTTAACCCCTTCACGCCTAAGTGTAAAACAAATCTTAAAATTTTACAACTTTGACATGTGTTAGTAAAACCGTACATCACAATTAATTTGTACATCCCGGTGAATTATACCTTGTTTTTTTTTCAGGACAAATTGGGCTTTCATTTGGTGGTAAATGGTAATGGATATCTCCTGATTTTTGTTTATTATCAAAGGAAAACTGGCTCTAAATAGTAAAAAAAAAAATATATTTTTCTAAATTTAGCTGTGTGTTTCTTGTTACTATCATAACCTACCACCAAAGAACAACCTAAAATAAATGTTCTAGCTCTTGACGATTGCAGCGATGGTACTACAGCCCAGAAACAATAGTGCGCATTTTGTTTTGTTTTTTTTTTAACTAAAACACACTGACACTAACTGACACTGATACCAATAAAAACAAAATCCTGACCTTTGACCCTGACCTTCACCCAAACACTAATCCTGGCACTGAATTTATTCTTTTCTTTTTTTTTAATATTTATTTCTTTTTTACAAACTGTTTTTTTTTCTGTGCAAGAAGACAAGGTATCTCTCGCCTCCATTCAGAGAGAAAAAAAAACCAAGGGGGCGGGGCTTCACAGTGACTTATAAATCAGAGGTTATCACAGTGATCATATGACCCAGAATCAGGAGTCCCAGGTCCCGATTGTTAGAACGGGATCCGGGGATCTCAGTGACACCACGGTCTTTGTGCTGAGAGTGAGTAATGCGGCGCGCTCCCAGCACAAAGACACGTACGCAAATATGCGGCCCCACAGAAAAAAAGCCCAGTTCTGTGAAGCCGCATATTTGTGGGACATCGAAGGTAAGGGGTTAACATACCAAAAGAGTACTGATAGGAGCAATTCATTGTTATGGTTTATATACACTTTAGGGTAACTCTAATATGTCTGCTCATTGCATAAGTTATTTTATTGGCAAACTGCAGGAAATGGGTACAACGTTTAACACAGGAGCAGAGACCCTAAAAGCAGAGTCTATTAAAAGTGTGAGAACCTGTCGGGAAGCTACATTTCAGATTTAAAGTGGTTCTAAACTCAAAATGTTTTTTTTACCTTAATGCATTCTCTACTTTAAAGTTGTTGTAAATATGTTGTAATATGTTGTACATATACCCAAAGAAGTGACTGGCCTCAGGTGATACACAGAGATGAAACAAATCCTCCTACATAAAGTCTGTTTATCTGCATTCTTCTTCCATTCAAAGTGCTGGATTTATAAAGCTTGTCTGAGAGTTTAGAAAAAAGAGGGCAGAGAGCTGAAATTACACTCTGCAGAGTTCAGTGAGGCGAGTTCTGAAAGCTGATTAGAGGGAAGAGACACAGCTTCCTTCACACAGAACACAGGAACGGAGCTGGGGCTGTCACTCTGCTGGATGTCCCTCCCCTTTCACCATTTTTCTCTTGGTGTCAGGAAAATGTGTTAGAAGTGACTCATGCTGATAGCAGAGAAAAGAAGCAGCAGACAGAAATGACACTTGTGCTATTAATTGAGACAAGCACACAGTATAGAAGGATATGCTTTATTCATATTTCATGGCTGAGGCTTACGGCCACTTTAGGGTAACCCCCCCCACATCCCTAAACATTCACCTGACTCCTCTCACTGATCCATTGCTATTCTCTCTGCAGCACCACTCCCTGCTCTTTTTGGTCTCACAGGAAACACAGGGAAGTGCCATTGGCTCCTGCTGCTGTTAGTTAAAATCCTGTGAGGAGGGAGCAGCGGCATAGCTTGCTGACACTGTGTGTGTCTATGGATGCACACAGCCTGGCTCGGGAACGTACCTACACAGGTGACCCTTAGCACATGGCTTGCTGAGGAGACACTCAGAAGAGAGAAAAGAAGACAGTGCTGGTGGGATATCACCAAAGAGGAGGTAAGGGATGGCTTTGTGCAATATCATTGCACAAAGCAAGTAAATATACAGTAACTTCTTTTTAATTTTAAGGAAAAAAATATAATTTATTATCACTTTAATCTTTCATTTCATGAAGTAGCTCATGGTTTAGTATGGGGTGTGTTTAGGATCACTGCCTTCTTGCAATATTCAGATTCTTTTCAGCTTTGATATCCTTGCTGATAGCAATATAGTACATCAAGGATAAGCTGATACACATTATAATCCATTCTTCCCCACACCCACATAATGTCTTCTGTACCATGAGCTGTGACACAGCCCTAAACTATAACAGATCCAGCCCCCATTTCAAAGTTGGGTCAGCCACAGCCATAAATGATGATTACTGTGTACAATGCACTGATATGATCAATGGAGAAACATCAACTGCTAGAATCTACCTATGCTGCAATGGCATGTGCTTCCAGAAATCTTGTTGTGGGGGGCAAAATGGGCATCTAGGCAGATCTGGCCTCCCTGCCTTGTGCTCAGTGCTGATCTATGCACACTGTAGCTAAACTCATGCCCAGGCTGTCCAGCTTTAAGCAATTTGTGGTGTTAATCTACTGCTTGTATGAGCGCATTGCAAATATGGACTACAAAAAGGTGTTATAGCTATCACTACGACAGTCTATAGAACTGATGGAAAAACACAGCACGGGAAAGGGGGGGTTCAGGCTGCAGTTGGTCTGGGGGGGTAGGTCCGGTGGGGGGTGGTAGTTCTATTTTTGCGTTGCCTGGGGCAGCCTAAATACACCACTGCTAAGACCTTGGCATGAATTATCTTTATGTTTAGAACAATTCCAACTTATTCACAGCTCTGAGCTGCATGGAGATTAAACAGCAAAAACGTGTCGTGGATCTGCTCACTTGTGTTTAACTGTTCCTAAAATATTTTTATTTCAGTTCTCCAAGGTACACATTACCTCAAACAGTGAACTGCTAACACAGCACATGTACTATGAATACAATTTCTAACTCTCTGTTTAAATATAGGAGGATAGAAACATTAAAGAAATATTAAACTTGCAGTCTATAAGCACTTTCAGCAGATTTATTCACTTACTGAGCATGCAGCTTCTTTGTTTCTATCTTTGTTCCTGTTCCAGTTTAGACTGGTGCCATCACCAGCAGCCCAGTTTACCTGTTTCAAGGTGGCTCCTTTTTCTTGCAATGTCCTATGGAGCCACCCTTGCACACAAGGACTAGAGTTGTGTCTCCATACACAGTGCGCATCAATAGAAACACACAGCCCTGTAGCCTAGGACAGCAAGGCACTCCCCTTCTCCTTTCCCTTCCTTGTCCAAACTAACAGAAAGATTAGAGAATGCACTGTCTCTGTGGGTTCAATACTACTTTAAGTGTTCTGTGAAGAAAGTAGAAGATGGACACTGAACTATGATAATAATATGCAGTAGCCACATACCATTTGCTGCAGGATAGGTATTTTATGGTTTGGTGACCTCATTTTACTCTACTACAATTACATAATACAGTTTGGTCACCTCCCTGCCCACTGGCTGTGACAGAATAATGAAGAAATACATATATAAATATATATATATATATATATATATATATATATATACAGTTGCAAGAAAAAGTATGTGATTACGTGGAGTTTTGCATGAATTGGGCATAAAATGTGCTCTGAACGTCATCTAAGTCACAACAATAGAAGAACACAGTCTGCTGAGCATAATACTACACAAACATTAGATGTTGCCATGGTTTCATTGCACATAACATGTAAACATTCACAGTGCAGGGAGGAAAAAGTATCAACTCATCTAAAGGAGCGCTGGGAAATTTCAAACTTTTATGTGCAGTCAGATAAAGGGAAAATCCAAACAAGCTAAATAGCTCTGGTGAAGAATCCATTTCACAGCAAGGTTTCCTTCAGTGAGCACCCAACAGTAGTTAAAACCACAGAAATACAAAAAGAAGCGCAAGGCCAAAAAGGGATAAAAGAGTTCAAGATAATTTTATTTGTTGGTAAATAAGTCTTAGAAAAGTCTAACACATTTCATCAGGACTCAAGTCAGGATAAAACATGGATGGACCTAAAAAGATCCATATTAAAACCAGTACTGAAATCTAACTATGAAGTGGCAATGCTGCTCAGCAACTGTTACACTGTCATTCCTGCCGGGAGCAGGGATCAGCAAAACCATATCTTACAATTGTCCTTTCCCTATCCACAGTGTATAGGAAGGATCTTGAGAGTCAAGGTGACAGCATTGTTTTTCTGGAAATGGGACTAATGTATGCATTTGGATAGGGACAGAGAGGGGCATGCTGCATTACAAGGCAGCAGCTGGTGTGCGGTGGGGTGCAGTGGGATCAGGGGCGGACTGACAACTCATGGGGGCCCTGGGCAATATGGGATCATGGGGCCCCTGTGTCCCCGCCCACACTCAAAGCACACCCAAAAAAGCCTATAAAAAAGGTACCAGAGGCATTTCATGGGGCCCCCTACTGACCCCAGGCCCTCGGGCAGTGCTCAAGTGCTCGAATGGTCAGTCCGCCCTTGAGTGGGATGACTGCACGGCTGACCTTATGGAAATGTCAAATAGTGGCATTTAATTAGGTTATATTGGCTGCTGCGTGGTGTAAGCATGATAGATTGCCTCGCACTGTGCAGTGCTTGAAAAATTAACTGCCTACAGTACTTTTTTCAGTGCACACCACCTCAACTTGGTGCTGTGAACCAGCCAGATAGATGACAAGACATTTTGCTTTGTCTTAGGATGGGACTGCGCTGAAAAAGCCTCCCAAAGCAGTTAAAACATGGGGAAATGTGTATTGCAGATATTCTTACAGCTCCTTTTAGCCAGAGCTTACCAGCAACATGATAGTTAAAGCATATGTAAAATAAATCTTAATCTCTCTTCAAATTATAGTATAAGTATATACTGATGAGTTCACTGTAATGAGGAATTAACAAATAATCTAAATGTGCTGCAATTAGAGGGTGACAACTTTATGGCTGATGGGTAATCTCAACAATAAAGTCTCCCTGGAATATAAAAACCAGCAGGTGATTCTATCCACCAAGGGCCAAGCAAAACTGAAACAAGCTTTACATTAGTATAAATGTTGGAACTATTTCAGGTATATTCATTGTGGAAATCTAATTCTGTTATGGGAATTACTATCCAGCCGTTAGTTGCTCTAGATTTTTAGGTCATAGAGATATTTTATAAATAGCTCTGCAGGTTGTACTTATCCAGCATTTACTCACCGTAAGAATATCATATTCTCCTGCTGCTGAAGACTTTTTGGATGAAACCACTCCAGTTTTAGGTTCAATAAAGAACTTGCCATGCTCATCTCCATCCTCAATACTGTAAGAAATTTCTGAGTTGGGACCCTCGTCTTTATCGACGGCAATAACCCGGTATATGGGATCCCTCTTTATATTTTTATCGCGTTCACTTTTTTCACGCTCTGGAAGTTGGATCTTGTAAAATTTTTGGAGGAACTGAGGTTTGTTGTCATTTTCATCCAGCACCTTCACAATGACCCGGCACACAGTGGACTTTGGAGGGTATCCATTGTCTGTAATGATAACCTGTCATGCAAGAATACATATTTGGTTACACCTCTCTAGGCAACTATTGCAAAGAAAAAGCAGAGTACTTAAACATTTTCAATATACTCCTGAATGTAATGCTCATTTGAAAGTCTTCCTAAATGAATACATAGCTTGGAGAACAAGCACAGCATGAAATAGCTCTTCAGGAAAGAACAGAATTTATTATTCTTACAAGCGGCTACACATTTAATCACTTCCCGAAAAAGCAAACAAATCTGTATAGAGATTTAAGTGATTGGTTGTTCAAAAAGCCTTAATCTCTGAATATTTGTCACAGCCAGCAAACAGAATGCTGATACTTGTCAGTGAAAGCTTCGTCTCGTCAGGTTCTGTTTGTAAAAAAGGCAAACAAAGGCATACGCTACTTCTTGTGTTTTGTCATTAGCTACTCAAGGCCTGCCAATCGCTTGCCATTTGGTTACTGCCACTTCAAATGAATCTGTAACAGAAGCTGACAAACTAAAACATTAAGAGGATAGCTGATGGAACTTTCCATGAGCACGAATGATGCTCATTATTCACTGGGTTCAAAAGTTTGGCGTTTTTTTAAAAGAAACTAGAACAGAGCTCATGTAGATATTGATGAAGAATATGCAGTCTGGGGTAGTTATGTATCTCTAGGTATTATCATACACCATGAAAGGTCAATACCACATTCTGTAATTGTTTTTTTTTAATCTAGCTTCAAATTATTCTGATATGTGACATATACGGGAGGAGGACTGGAAAGAACACTGGTCTGTCCCCCACCTACCTTCCTGTGTAAAGTGAGAACTGCAAACCACACATCTATGGGTAATAAGAAGCTTTACAAGCTTAATGGCATTTTTTTTTGCGCTCATTAAAATGATCTTGTCTATGTACTGATGGTGCTTTGATCTATTATGAGAGTTTTACTCACAAGAATGAATGAATGAAGTTTCATTTTAAAATGAAATCTGGTAATCAAAAAGTAAAACATGAAATAAACACGAGAAATGCTCCTAAAACCACTGAACTGTTCAATATAAGCCCTAAATAGAATGTTAAAAAATCATGTAAAGTATAGCTTAAACCAATACTTTTATATATTTATTTGTTTATTAGAAAGCATAGGTTAAACCTCTATAAAGCTTTTTTCCATTTGCGTCTCATTAGAAATACTAAAGACGTATGCCCTGCAGATGCAACAGGAAGTGATAAATAACCAGTTAGACTGAGTAAAGGGAACAATATTGTTCCCATTGGAAGATTTCTCCTCTATATTTTCCATTTTCAGTGCCAATAACAATGGTCACCTACTGTAGATATTTAGAGAAAATAACGTTCCCCATTGGGGACACATGCAGCAATAAACAGGGGTTCTAAACACTCATCACTGTAAGTTGTAGCTAAAAAAAAACAACTTTAAAGTGTTACTAAACCCAGGACCCTGTATTCACTATATCCAGTCTCCCACAGTACACAGAGCATGGAAATGCAATTAGTTTAGAAAATCTAAACTGCTAAATGTCTTTTTCTAAACTGCTAAATACCTTTTCTCATCAGCAGCTAGAGCAGTCTTGTGACTTCTATCAGTGTCCAGCCGAGCACTGGTTAAAGTGTTACTAAACCCAGGACCCTGCATTCACTATATCTGGTCTCCCACAGTACACACTACATTGAAATGCAATTATTTTAGTAAATATAAACTAAGTACCTTTTCTCATCAGCAGTTAGAGCAGTCTCATGACTTCTATCTATCTATAAGCTTGTAGGAGGAGTTTTCATTTCCCTCTAGGAATATGCAGAGCCCTGTGCTGATCACAAAAAATAGTGCTCCCAAAAAAAAAAAAACGCTCTAGCAATACACACCAAACTGAGCATGTGCAGAGGGACTCCACACGATATGTCTTATCAGGACATAAGAGGGGGCACTGAAAGAAAGGGGAAGATCAGAGAAGTCAGGATCAAACAGCCTCTTTACACAATGCAGAGGATTAACCCATTAGGTTCTACAGTGAGTATAACACGCATGCTTTACTGCTTTACACACTGATTATACTGTTGTGGGTTTAGTAACACTTTAACATAAAAAATATATATATTACTTTGAAAAACAGTGCATACTCAGTACAGACTCTGTAACAAATGAAATGGCTTATATAATCTGACAGAAACCTCACTTCATTATTATTAGCTGAGCAAAAAGTCACAGCAAAAAGGTTCTGAAAAGTTCATTCATTAGGCTGAAAAAACAGAAACTCTTCCTTGCATAACAAACTCCCATTATCATAACCTACTACTGCAATCTAATGCGTTTTCAGATACCTTTGGGAGGCTGATGTTTTGGTGTCATGACTTTAAAATGCTGTTGCGAATTGGTGAAATCTGTACCTATATGAATTGTATTATGATCATTCCTAGATCAGTGTAATATAAGGATCAATGGGTGATCGACCACCATGAAAAAATCAATGTCCGGTAACCATAATGACAGACATTAGTAAACGGAAACCTAATTGGCTGCTCTTTACACAACATCATGTTACGTTGCTCTACCTCAGGGTCATTATAATAAAAGAACCAAAAGAACTTTCGGTGCTTGCTCACCAGAAGGCTTGTTTGAATTGTAATAATATAACGGAGCTCATATCCCAGCTATATTATGGTGTTTAAAAAATCTGAACTCTTGTTTAAATGAGAACCCTTTTGTCAATTTTATTAGATCTATTTAATCCCCAAAAAATATCCATAGCAAAGTTCACTGTAAATATTTCCCTACTGTCCACACATTCCTATTCATCAATCCCAACCAGGGGCGGACTGATAACTCATGGGGCCCCCAAGCAATAGGGGATCATGGGGCCCGTGTCCTTGCCCAAAACTAAACAGAGCCTATGAAAAAGGTACCAGGGGCATCTCATGGGGCCCCCTACTGACCCGAGTGCCCGAGTTTCCAAATGGTCAGTCCGCCCCGATCCCAACAGAGTTGTTGTAATCCCTTCAAAACTGTTGGACACCTTCAGAAAGTAGAGGTTTACTGACGTGTAAAAGATAATTGTTATGCAAGGGTGTCATCTTATTTCTTAACCTCCCTGGCGGTATTCCCGAGTGTAAAGTTTCAGTACCAAAAGCGGTAACCCCAAGCTACACTCGGGCTTACCATGCGGTGTTGCTCAGGGATTCTCTGCAGCACTTACCTTGTCCTTCGCTCCCGCGATGCGTCCCCTGCAGCGTCCCCGGCCATCTTCTCTGGCCGATGCTGGCATCCGGCTTCCGTGTTCCAGTCCCTGCGAGCGTTGGGATGTACGGGATGTACGGGGGCCGGAACCAGCGGCAAATTTAAAAATTTTTAGAAACTGTCGTTTTCTAATAAATGAATTTGACATAGTAAAACATTACTGTATCAAAGCATTTCACATACATTTTGTCCCGAGTGCTATGTCCTGTGCCCTACCTGCATTTTTACTGTTCTTTCTGCCTGGAAACTTAGAAAAGTCCATGGCATCCAAAAAGTGTCCCTTTAGGTCAAAAGCGGTTTTAGACCAGCTAGAGAACAGCGATAGTAAATCAGAACCACTTGCAGAATTGAGTGATAATGATTTGTGGGGAAATTCGTCATCAGACAATGAAAACAATTTTGTGACTTTGCTCAGTGATGTGCGAACCTGGCGCTATATTTCAAATTTCAGTGTTTTTGGTTTGATTATATTATTGAATTAAATTTATTATTATTATATTATTTTTATGATTATTTATTAAATTATAATTTATGATTTTGTGTTTCAAGTTTTATCCTACCCGGAATGTTTACTAGACTCTTGTTCGGACAGATTTCAGTGAGTTATTCCTAAAAATTACAGGCCTACAATAAAAAAAATACATATTTCCATGCAAAAAATGTACCGCTTTCAGCACAGAAATATGGACATAATCAGACCGCTAGGGAGGTTAAAGTGGTACATCTCTGGCTCACTGAAAAGGCCAATGTTCAAAGGCCTTTATCTAATGATTGCATAAAGGCAAACCAGACATTATATCATGTAATTGTTAGAAAGCATGACATTCATCTAAAAATTGAACATTTTCTGCTGTTTTAACAATTGCCCACAGTTTGGTGGATTAAAATGTTTTGACCCCAATCAAGTCTCTTTATCCCTATTTTCAATATTATTATTATTATTTTATTAATAATAAGTAACTCAGATAAATGACTGAGATTAGCTAGAAGAATATTGACCCCCGAGAAAAAAAATGATCATTTTCTCACAACGATTATTTACAATAGTGAATGAAGAAGAAAAAGACTTAGGCAAGCAGATTCTCCTGTCTCGGTATGTGTATTGATGTGCACAAAACACATATTACTAAATGTAGATCAATAATCTCTACTCTGGTGCGTGTGTCTCTTCTCTATGCCAAATAACAGATGGAATGAAGGGAAGAGAGGCTAAAACCTCTGCGTATGAGATGTAACAAGTACTCCTGCCTCATAAATTGATTTCTTTATGAAAATTCCTAATGTGTCAAAGCTAAATCAAATAAGGCCAAAAATATGCCAGTATTATTTCATGAAACATGACAAAAGCAATGGGTAAAGCCCATTTTCAGAGCATAGAGTGTGACAGTATTTCATGATTTTTCCATTAGAGGAAGGTATTCTGGAACGGTGAGTTCATATCGCTAAACCACAGAGCAGTAGCGGATCGAATTTCCTTGTAAACAAGGGAAAAGCACACTAGCCCATCTGGTCAACATTTCAATATTAAATTAATTTGCCAGATGCACACAACACTTGGCTGCTGCAGCTCCCCCATATTTAAATACCAATGTGTTTCTGGGTTCCTTCCCAAACTATTTCCAAGCTTGCCTCCATTAAACAGACAAATAGGAACAGGACCATTAAACCATTAAAGCCTGCATTACACTGTATAACCGTACTTTATGGTGCCTTTGCTATATCATTGAGCTGGCAATAAACAGAGCTGAGCAACAAAGACAGCTGGGGGTGACATAAAATAAAAGTAATGAAAAAAAATTGCAATTATAAGCTGTGGAAATTTTTCTCGCCACATTAACCCCAAATGGGACAACACAAGAAATCCTGTAAACCAATACGAGATATAAAATTCACTACACTCCTAAGTCTTTAAATAAAAATTACATCTGGACATCCACTGACAGAAATGAGATTAAAGCATATTTAAAATTTTGGATATACTTCAGATTTTTAAAAACCCCAATTATCATTGTTTGCCAAGGTCCATTTTGAAACCCATATGTGATTCTGACAGTGTGCTGTGTGTGTCAAACTTTTCAAATGCTCATTTGTAGCTCATAGTTTAAGGCCTTGAAAACATTTTAATGAAGCATTATTGCTATTAAGGCTCTGATCAGCCTAGTATTATTTGCTCCCTTCATCCTCTAGTCTCTCCGATTCCCCTCCATATCACAATTTGTAGATGTGTTGCTCTATGACTGCCAACTGTGATGGCATAGTTTTTTTTTGTATAGACAGCAATGATCACTGCTTTGTGAAGCAAAAGAGAAATGGAAGGAAAAATCCCATATGCACAAGCCTTTGCAAGGCTGCAGACTTTTTTTTTTTTTTCACAAAAAAAGAATGTTACTGTTTGCAACATAAAATTTTAAGTCTACAGGTTGAATGATATGCCTTTGTTGGTAGTATCTACGGATTCCTGCCTGCCTCCCAGATCCTGACCTCACTGGCTGGCATGTTTAAATTATTAACCATGTTCGGCAATAACTCCAGGAAAGCAAAAGATAATTGACAGTTTTGGAAGCAATGAGACAAAAAGGGTAATTATTTTCCCACCCCAGTCTTTACTGCTCTCACCTGTCTCTGTAGCACTAAGTGCCACTGGAGTGGAACTGGAGCCAAAAGGTTCAATATCAAGTTTTGATTCTACAAGCTGTAACTGAATGTAGAAGTTGTTTGTATAATATTATAATCCAAAGAGCATGAAACAGCTGCTACCAAATATAACTAAGATTAGCCAATGCTGGAGTTGTTTGTTTAGATTACAATAAACATTACAAATGGGCTCCAAGAATCTTTTAAAATTACATTTTGTGTAACCTCTGTTATAGTAAGGGTAAATGTGCATTTAGTCAATGGGGTGCAAAGCAAAAGAACACTCATTTTATTTCTCGCTCGTGCAAGCTTCATTCCTGCTTCCTGCTGGTTACGCAATAGGTGAACAGTCTCACAAAGATGTCCTAATCACCATTATACTGTACACTGCAGTATGCGACTTTAACATTAAAAATTACATTTAACCCAGGGGGTGCTGGGTCATAGGCACTCTGCTATGCAATCTTCAACTAGCTTTCCTGGATGAATGCTTGACACTGTGCCACCTCCTAGAGCTCATTATTGGCTAGCAAGGTTGATCATTAAATAGATGGGAAAATACTAAGACTTAGGAAAGAGGACACTGTGGCTCAGGATCTCAATCAGGGAATCCAGCCAACATCTGTATATAAAAGGATTCAGGGCAACCTGGAAACCCAATAGGGGAACTGCAACAGGGTTAGATGAGCTTTTTTCATTTCTGGTCTCCTTTACATAACTGTAAGAAAGAGTTTAGAGGAGGTGGAAGGTCCAGCAAAATAGCTCACTGTAACAAAGCTGTAACTTTTTTTGCAAATTAGTTTACACTTTATAAAGTTTGGATAAAATACCTCAAGAATATGTTCAGATTGTTGTTCCCGGTCAAGCTTTCTTGATGTGGTTGTTATAAGTCCTACAAAAAAAAGATATTTTATTTTAGCATAATTTAAAAAAGTGTGTGGAGCATGTATTAGAAAAAACATTACTACATAAATAAAGTTCATATTCTCAAATTACAATAAAATTGTAGAGGTGATTGTAGCCGTATTAGTGCATTTGTGACAGAAACAATTGAGTACTGTCCGTGATACTTTTTTTACTTGCACTAACAAACAATTTTAAGGACAAGCTTTCGGGGAGTGTCCCCTTCTTCAGGTCAAAATAAAATTGTAGCACATAGTAACAAACCATATTTTTAGTTTTAGAAGTTTTTTTTTACTACATCCTGAAAATCGATGAGCTGTTTTGTGCTGGGAACCTAACTCTGAAAAAAATATTGGTTTGAAGTTTGGGGGATTTGTTGTGGAGAACACTATCACGGGGGCAGAATGTGATGGAAAATAAAACATTTTATAGTTGTTACCAAAACAGGAGGAGAGGGTGATTATTTCCAGTGTCTAAGAGGGGACTTTCTCTTACTTTGATGAGATTTCTTTTCACTTCTGTTTGTGCCTCTGGGATTCTATCCAAAAGAAGGGCTGTGGATAGTAACATATTTTAATACTAATGCACTTGGAACTATTGTTATCACTGAGATATTTCCCCATACTTGCCAATAATTGTAGTATAAAAACAAGTTAGAGACCAACTGTCCCATCACCTCCATCACACAAAAATAGCCTACTGCATACCTCCTCCACCGGCTGCTGCCAAAAAAGGCTTTGGTGGCCCTACAGTCCTCTTACTGTAGAAGCACTCTGCACTTACTGCTTGCAAGCCTGTAGGGAGCCACAGCACTTTACTCAGTAAGACATCTGCAAAATAGTTATAGATACAGTAGGCTAAGGCCAAAAAATGTTCCTGGGTGATCTGAAGTCAGCATTTAGGGGCATTTATGAAATGGGAAAGGAGGTAAATGACTCCAATGTAATACTGTTAATCTGTAAGGAAAAACTGTAACTGAAAACACGCTCTGAAAATGCTAGATACCTGTCTTCCATGTTCCTCTGATTCAACACATTCAGAAGAACTCTCCATGAACAAGCATGCAGCAAGTACTCCTAATCTGCAACTTTACTCCAGGTCAATTATCAATAAAGTACTGAAGCTAGAATATGAACTCAGCAGAAAGACACACAGGAGTTGATTTTATTAAAAATGGAGAGTGCAAAATCTAGTGCAGCTGTGCATGGTAGCCAATCAGCTTCTAACTTCAGCTTGTTCAGTTAAAGTGATACTAAAGGTTCAATTTACAAACAAATAACAACCATGTTATATATAACTGCTCTGTACAATGGTTTTGAATCCTCCTCTTCTCAGGTCTCCTGATTGTGCTTCTGGCTCCTCCTCTTTGACCAGTGCCCCAAATATTAAGCTATGCTATGGGAAAACTGGTGTGTGTTCGCTCCTGAGCCCCACTCTATGCGTCCATAAGACTGCTCTCTTCTCACTGGCTGTGATTGACGACAGTGGCAGCCAATGGCTTCAACTGCTGGATCTCTGCCATTGAGGAGAGAGAGAGACCTGGGACAGCCAAGGCTCCCATGCACATTGCTGGATTGAGAGGGGGATCAGGTGAGTATTTGGGGGGGGGGGCTGTGGGGGGAGCAGCACACAGAAGGATTTTTACCTTCATGAATAGAATGTGTGAAGGTAAAAAACCTTCAGCCTTTACAACCACTTTAGGCTTTGACAAAAAAAAAACTGGAAGCTGCACCATATTTTGCACTCTCCAGGTTTAGTAAATCAACCCCACAGTTTTTTCAGAAGCAGAGGTCACCAGTGACAGGATACACACAACTCTCATTACAGCTTTTAAAAATGCATGTGTTAAATAATTATTTTGCCTTTTTGATGAACTTTTAATGCACTGAATTTTCTGTTTTTTCGTTTTCCAGAGGAAAATGCACATCTGTATTTTTTGTAAATAGTTGCGTGTGCTGTAATATAAATTTATGGTGTTATGGTGTTACCTGGGTTTTTCATCTGGTACACTTCATCCCTAATGAGGATACACTTGCTGGAAACTTTACCTTACAGTTTAACTCCAGGTATGATCATTTTTCCATACTTACATTTGTCCAATGTACCAATGAAAGATTGCATAACTCATACCTGAGGGTCCACTGGGTAAGCTGGCAATCACTGTAGTAGTTGGCATTACTACAGTAACAGCCACTATCTTTTTGGTCCTGTGCCACCATTCACAGAACCCGTTATGTTTCTCTGATGGGACGAGGTGAAGAACAGAAGCAGTGAAGTCACAATCGTGATAGTCGCTTGCTCAGCAATGCAACCTTTTACAGAAAGCCCCATATATTTTTCAATGGATACGAGGCACTCCATGTTTGAACAATGTGGACAACTGCCCTCCATTTGGACATTGGGACTGACTTAAAACACATGAAATCGTGCTATCATTCATTCTTAGTTGCACCCCAAATGCACATATGCTAAATGCCATGCATTGTAGTGCAATACAATTTAATAAAAAAGTGCATCATTGATAAAACAATGATTTTAATTTCCCTGCTTCCATGTAATAGCCCTTTACTCCACTTGGAGTGTTATATTACTCTTTGCTGTGGCCAAGCTCCTCAGCCTTTCCCCTCTTTACATAAGCATTTATGTAGCTGCCGGGGAGAAGCAAAGGGCAATACTCTAGAGCAGCTTTTTCTCAACCAGAATTCCGTGGAACCCTAAAATTCCTCCAGAGATTGCTGAGGGTTTCTCGAGCATTGAAAAATTTCTGGCTCTTATTTGAGTAACCACACACACCAAATAACTTTACCTATCTATGGGGGGGAGGCAGGGGAATTCTTCCCAATGACCACTAATGTCAAATGGCCATCACAATTATGTACTGTGAGCTTAAGATATGACAAATATTTACAGGAGTTCCCTGAGACCAGAAAGGTATTTCAAGGGTTCCTCCATGTTTATAAGTTTGAGAAAGGCTACTATAGAGTATAAGTTAAAGCTTAAAGTATAGAGTATAAGAACTAAAGTCAATGCTTACCTGTCTAGCGGTCCTGCACCGTCATATTCTTTTGAGTGCCGGACTTTGGGCCTATTCATTGGCTGGCAAGGGATGACATCAGTCCTGGACATGTACAGGAAGCCGTCATCCTGGCATTGGAAGACTGGCCCGGCACTGTAAACTAAGCTGCGCATGTGCTACTCAGTTTACAGTGCCGGGACAGACAGAAACCTGGCAGATAGGGACATTTTATGTCACTAAAGACAATGCATGTCTCTTCTGCAATAAAAGCCTGCCTGCTCACTGTTTTGTACAGTAGAACTTTAGTTCCACTTTAAGGCAGCTCTGAACCTGTTGGTGCTGCCGATATCACACCCAAGATGGCAGCACCCAGCAACAGTCTTGGAGCTTTTGGGTGTCTACAAGGAGGCTTTTGCAGGTATATAGAATGCATAAAATGCACATACATGCCATGGGAAGATTTTTACTGAAATGACCGGTCCAGCGACAAGGTCTCTTTAATACCTCTCATTAAAGGATAAGTTCACCTTTCGAAAACATGTTACACTCATATTCAGGGTAACATGTTAGGATATAACCGGGCCCTGCACCCCCCAGATCCATGTTATGACAGCTAGTGGGGGATCTTCTCCTCCCCGGTATCTGTCACAATTTTTTTTAAAACACAGCCATGTGCGGCTCCACCTGCCCGGCCACGTCACTCATTCCCAGTATTCTGTGAAAACTACAAATTCTGAAAGCCTTTGCATCTGTCGGCTTGTAGTTTTTAATGAACTACCACGGCACTCCACAGCGCCATGGTAGTTCATTGAGCCTTCCTGTCAGTAGGTATGTATGAGCAAGCAGATACATGAACAGGTCAGGGGGAGACCCTGCATGGCACCAGCGATCTGCTGATTGCTGGTGCAATGCTTTAGGGGCTCCATGAACAAAAAATAATAAATACACATTTTTTTACCTGCAAAAAAATGTGCATTTGTTATTTTCTGTTAAAAGGTGAAACTTATCCTGTGAGATAATAGTGCAATGTATTCAAACATACGATCAACTTTATACCTTTTCTTATGCTTTTAATAAATTATAAAGGTATGGTATATTTTTAAGTTAAAAAGAACATGTATATTAAGTGACAAGGTGCATTTAACTCCAGTGTATTACCCTTTATCAAGAAAGGATAAACATAACCTACAAAGTAAAATTGCATGTCACATAGAATTATTTTAACAGCACTTAAATGGCCAACTGGGGTTTTCACTAGACATGGCACATTTATTAATAGAGCTGACACACAAAACAGTAAGTACAGAGACTGAACAAATCAACACTAAACACAAAGTTCACCCCCAGGGAACATTTCCCTGAACATTATTTGGACCGCTGTGTTCTAAAGGCGGGTAGAGAAGTAATTGTTCACAGTTCCTCTCAGCTAAATATTCATTCATGAAAACCCAGGCAAGAGCGGCTTGTTTGGCGGTGTAGATGTCTAACCCATGGGGAGTAAATAAGCGATACTTGCAATAGAACAAGGATGGCATGAAACAAAATGAGGAAGGTGATGGCTGAGAAAGGGAGAAAGTATAGAGCAAGTGCTGAGCCAAGATTTGATGTTGTTTTATTATTTCACCTGCCCACACTAGAGCTAGTATTCAAATAAGTGGACCCAAATAACACCTCTGCTAAATCACTTGATTCTATGAGTCTTGGCAACAAGTCTTAGGTCTGCATACAATGTATTGTTATACGGTGCTGTTGAAATGTGCAATGTTTGTTGATGAATTTTATGGTCTTTGTAATATAAAGAGCAAATATCGGCCAAGCCAACAGTCAGAAACCTTTGCCAGCTCAGTAAGACATAAGAAGTGTTATTTCATATCAAGTATGAGTATATATTCCTCCGTTAAAGTGGTTGTAAAGGTTGAAGCTTTTTTCCTTCATGTATTCTATGCATGAAGGTAAAAAACCTTCAGTGTGCAG